AAAAAAAGTCTATGTTAACATGTCCCTGCTGCTCACTTGTACGACTAAGACTAGGATTAATCAACAATGTCAGCTGGCATTAGCTATTTGCTGATCTATCTGTATCAATATTATAACTGCTGATGAATAAAAACATGTAAAAACTAAAGAAGAGACAGAAGGAACATCCTTCAACCATGTCTTGAGTTTTGAAATTACATAGTTTTCCCACCAGTGGGAGCTCGTGTTGTTGGCAACACACTTCTTTGGAAAGCCACAAACACAACATCCAGCTAATCCGAGCAGTTAGGTTAAATAATTACATAAATAACTACGCATAACAAACGTTAGGGAAATCTGTTTATGATTTGTGCCTGAAAAGAGAAAAGAAATGGCCAAAATACTGCTTTTTCAACCCTGAATATTGGTATCCGCCTTAAAATATCCTGGTTTATGCAAAGTGTCAGTAAACATTTTCTTATTGAGGTTTTTGGTCTCACAAATCTTATCAATACACAATGTGTTGCGCAATTTTACATTTTAATCTGTTTTAGAGTAAAGAGGGGGTAGGATTTTTAGTGAAGTTGTCACCATATGAATATGAAACTGTTGAAATAATTTGTTTCGTTATATTGTACTTGACTTTACTAAGCTATTCTACTTTTTTAAGCCTTTTGTAATAATCATAATTAAAAAAGAAAACTAATGTGTGGCATCACAGTGTCTGTGTCCATCTGCAAGTCAGCCTGCACTGTTTGGTTTTCCTGAGAGGGATGACGATGGATTAAGGTCTAGAAAATAGAAGAAGAATACAAACCAAGCTCTCTCATCCAGGAAGTCAGCATCTCCACAAAACTTGCCAACACATTCCCTCCATTGAGGGATGCTGCAACAGCCAAATATGTGGACTCAAAGTAAGGGAAGTAGGAGATGGACGAGGCGGGCTGAGGAGAATCTGGAGGTTTGAAGTCAGCTGGCATGGCGTAGGTCAGCTGGGCTGAAGTGCTTATGTTAAGGACTGGGAAATTTGAAAAAAA